TTTATGCTAAAGTGATTTTCAGATCAGCTAGCTGACTAAGTCATCTCATTAAATAAAAAAAAATGGATGTGTTTAGAAAGGAATCTCTAAGATGTGACTAGACAAGCACTCACAGTTGCTTCATTAGCTCCACTTTGCTGGCAATCATATTGCTCAAGCTAAGGCAGGACCTGGTCTAGACTTACCAAGAATTGAATGATAGGCCTATTCACATATAGGATGATGTCCAAAAGCTGTCATCTGAGTCATTTAAACCTGATCAGAACATGACTGAACTGGGGCATGCTCGGGTAGCTTAGAACCATATATGTGGTTTTCTGACCTTAAAAAAAAGCTGGAGATGCATCTTTGAGGTGTCAAGCCCAGCTGATAGACAGGAAACTGTTGCAATATGTCATGAAAGTGAAGAAAAAAAAAAAGAATGTGAAAGTTCATATTCTAAGGAACCTGAAGTTTGGTGCATCTGACTTCTGGGTCCCCAGACTGAGAAAGAATCAGCCTGACTATCAGAGGAGCTCTTTACTCATGGCTCCTTCTGCCTGAAGAAGGGCAAAACCGGCTCACCAAACTTCACTCTCGGGGAGCCAGGGCCCCCAAAATTCAGGCACTTTTGGAAGATTGGGAGAAGCGATAAAAATAACAGTCCATTTCTCACCTGCATTCGCACAGGGCAGCAGAGTGCCCTGTGTGCTCACGGAGAGTGGGGGATGTGAAGTGCTCACCCCGCTTCTCTGTCTTTCTCCTAGGACCACCTGTCCGAGCCACGCTCCCCCGCCAACGGCGACTACCGCGACAGCGGGATGGGTTCATATTCTAAGGAACCTGAAGTTTGGTGCATCTGACTTCTGGGTCCCCAGACTGAGAAAGAATCAGCCTGACTATCAGAGGAGCTCTTTACTCATGGCTCCTTCTGCCTGAAGAAGGGCAAAACCGGCTCACCAAACTTCACTCTCGGGGAGCCAGGGCCCCCAAAATTCAGGCACTTTTGGAGAGAAGCGAGAAGCGATAAAAATAACAGTCCATTTCTCACCTGCATTCGCAGCAGAGTGCAGAGTGCCCTGTGTGCTCACGGAGAGTGGGGGATGTGAAGTGCTCACCCCGCTTCTCTGTCTTTCTCCTACCCCCGCTCCTCTGTCTTTCTCCAGGGCCCCCCTGCCCGGGCCACGCTCCCCCGCCAACGGCGACTACCGCGACAGCGGGATGGTCCTCGTGAACCCCTTCTGTCAAGAAACGCTGTTTGTAGGACATGAGCAAGTCTCTGAAATATGACCCCACAGCTGCCCGTGTATTGCAGTTTCATCTCTACTGTCTCCAAATTATAAATAAATATATATATTATAAATATAACCTTTGTGTAACCCTGAATTACAAGAAATGTTTTCAGCTTTTCGTTTCTCCCTCAGAATTGTCAGCCCCTTTTTTATAAGTGTGGTAAAACTTTACAGAACAAACTGTGGCTTTATAAAATAAAGGTATTTCTAAGCAAAACACCTGTCAGATGGACTGTTTTCTTCACTGTCATTTACCATCTGCTGCTAAATATACTTGGTCTGGAAGAATATTAGATAAAGCTGGTTTTGGTGCAGGCAGCATGTGTTGGGTATGGCATCCTGCATCCTGCGTGACATCACTCAGCCTGGCCATGAGCATTCCTGCTCGGTGACCATCCCTTCTCCTGCTGTAAAATTACTTTGGTCACTCCTTTCCTTTAGACTGCCAAGCTAGAATACAAATCAGACAGGACCAGCTCGGTTGCCAGAAGCAGTCCGTACGGCTCATGTGCTAGTCTTGTATCCTTTGCATGACTCCAGCACCGCCTGAGCACTGACTGGGACAAGCCCTCCAGAGTCTCCCTTCCAGTAAAAATCAGCCAGGGTCTGCCAGCCCGGCAGGGGGAGAGCAGGGGAGCTGGGCTACAGTGGGATGATAAACGAACCTGAGGCACCCATGGAATCCAGGGCCACGCAAGACATGGGCAAACCCGTTGGGGTAGTAATGTTGCCCCATGACTTTTTTATGTTACCTTCTTCAGACTTAAACAGGAAAGCCAAGTTCCATTTTGAGCTCCCAAACTATTTTACATGAGCAAGGACAAGAATGACTTTTCTTCCTGCATAAATGTCCTAACCACACTACACGTTGAACTCACAGCTGCTCCACTCCGGCCCAATGAGTCCTGAATTATTTCCTGCAGAGCAAACAGCCTCAAAAGAAGGCATGTAGAATGTCTCCTTCAAAGGAACAGAAACCTCCTTTGAATTTATCAGAAATCTTGAAATCTGGTGACTAAGGACTCCCACCAATAGAATGCTGTGGCTTTGACCACATTTCCACTTCCCCGCTGTTTTATTTATATCTTGTGTGCTTAGACTGCTAGTGCCACTGAATCAAGTTTCATCATACCCCGCTCTCCTTTCTGAGACTTTCTTTCCCCGCTTAGGAATGAAAACACAGTGTTTCAGAGCAAAATGGCATTTCAGTCCTACCCAGTTAAGCACTAGATTGCAGGCTGTAATAGTGTTAGGGGACTAGGAGGGGTGAACAAAGCTTAAATGATGGATTACAAATAGGTTGTTACAAGGAGACGCTAACATGGAACATGGAGTGACTTTGCCTAAATCAATGCTCTCTCTTTGAGTAACCCAGAACTGTTACCGTGGGACCAATTTTCAGTTTTGCTTCTCAAATTGCCTTTTTTGTATTGTTCGGCAAGTGAAATGGCCTCCGTCCTTTGAGGTCTCGGCCGTCCTCTCCCCACCTCTGGCCATCAGTCTTTGTAGATTATTTTCTACCTTCACTCCTCACTTCATCAGGAGCAGGCTGTGAGACAGCAGGGAGTTTGCCCCCTGCTCCAGCTGGCTGCTCCGTGCCACTGGCTGCTCAGGTTTATCGCTTGGTTGCGTAAAAGGGAGGCTCGGGCAGGACAGGGTTAGCGTGGCATCGTTAACCATATGCCTTGTTCAAGGTGAGCCACAGCTGGTACCAGAAAAGGGAATTATAGCAGTGGCACATCTGGTCCAGCTGTTCCCACCTGCCAGCAGTGTCCCGGTGGCTGCGGTTAGTCAGAGCAACCTGACAACTTTACTAAATGATGACTGGAATCGGACCAAGACATGGCTCCCCCCGGGATGGGGGGGGCCACAGAGGCATTGTCGCCCCTCCTTTCTCCCTGTCCTACACGTGCACTTCTACTGTGCCGAGGCACAAACCTGAATGTGGGCCACCGGCCTCCTAAAATTAGAAAATTGTAATGTTATAGGGACTCTGCTAGGTATTTGATTTTCTGCTCAGAATCAGAGAGTAATGCACTGCTTCCCTACGAGGTGACCGGGGCAGGCAGGAAGACATGGCTGTGTATGGACATGGATGGGCACTTTGGGAATATATCTTTTCACCATGGGATAAACACTATGCAATATGGTATCTGCAATCCTCATGATCAAATACTAAACAGCCTCCTGGAAATCACTGGTTGATTATAGAGTAAAAACTTCCTGAGGGTCTTACCAAGAGCGAAAGCAATCTCATGAGGACCTTCATCTTCTATTTCAACAGGGAGGTGGAAAGAGAGAACAAGGCTACAGAGAACTAAATTCAGTTCTTTGCAAAAAAAGTCCATATTTTTACATTTGTTTTCTGTACGCGGTATTGCTTTTGCAAGGCAGATTTTTTTTTTTTATTTGACACAGAGCAAGTACACTGAAAATGTTGTGTAAGAAATACTGGAGGATTCCTCTCATTTAGCCAGCACAGTTTGCTTGGTAATCTAAATGCAGAATGCCTAGAAACTAGCCAAAAATATTTGCAAAGCTGTGAGATGCTGCACTATTCCCATGCTTCACACAACCGGGAAATGGTGACCTGACTGTAGGCAGTCTCGCAGTTCTCAAACTTAAAAAACAAGCAAAACAAACTCCAGCCACAAACCCGGCGAGCCAGGATTAGGCACCCACGGAAGACAGGGATTTCTGATTGTATTCCATCTCGCCAAAGACTCACCACCGCCCCTGTACAAACCTACACTGCATTAGGGCAATGCCCAACATCAGCACATTACAGGCATGCCTACAAAGATGTGCACATGGTAATCCTACACTGGAACAAGTCTGGCATCCTGGCTGTGAAGCATCCCTGTGTGTAGGTAGAAAAAGCTATACCTAACATGGTATCGTGAAGGATCCCACTGTACCATGAACACGTCCTACTTATATACCTATAAACTACCCACCTGATCAGTAGTGGCTGAAGAGCAGTGACATAAAAAGAAGAGCAAGGGGAAACTCCCCCATCCCCTGCAATAAGTCTCAGGGATTGTTTTGCCCTTTTCTTTTGGTTCAGTTGCCTCACTTTGTCACCACGTCATGCAGTCAAAGTGAAATGGGCCCTTGTTGAACAGACCAAGTGCAGTTGATAATGTGACGTTAAACTGACTGAGCAGGGGTAGACATGAGGGTGTTTGTCGCTAGTTAAAATCTGCTGGGTTTGGGGCAACGTGCCTTGGTCGGGTGGTGAAGCCAAAGCACAGAGAAATCCAGAAGCTAGAGCAGGGCCGAGGGAGCATTCGAGGCTTTGTGGCAGTGAAAGGCTGGCTCGGCTCAGCTTGGCCGTGGCTCTGCTGGCTCCTCAAAAGTTTGGGTTTTGCTAACTTTAGGTAACACCTTGCTGCAGGAGACTCTGTCTGGAGCAAGCATGGGTGCAAGCAGCCAATGCGTTTGTAATATGTTTAGATACCTGTGCGTATAAGGGTAGGAAATCATCTGGGTGTCAGCGTAGAAAACACCGCTCGTATTTTAACACGTACTTTGTACTGAATCCCTGTCCTGCTGTCCCTGTAAACACCATTGTGCTTTTCATCTGCCACATTTGCAGCAGCAGCAGCAGGGAGATTTCCCCTGAAATGGGATTGCTGACCCAGCGGCCACCCAGACAATGTGACGGGTGCTTCCAGGCAACACAAAGCCTCCCTTCCAGAAAGCCGTCGCACAAAGCTGAAACCCCGCGCAAGCCCCAACCTGCTGGGCTCGGCACATCCCTCCCGCCAGTGCGGGGCAAGGCGGCCGGGCTGAGAGGCGGTGCTCGGTGGGCTGGAGCAGCAGCATGCCTTTGCCGAGGCGCCGGTCGTCCTTCTTGGGGCAGCAGCCCTCTTCCTCCGCGGCCGAGAGCTCGGGGGCCCCCGGCCGCCGGGTGAGCATCGGGGGCGGAGGAGCCCTGTCAAGACCCCCTGGCGTCTACGTGGGCACCGTCCCCACTGGTGGCGTGAGCAGCTTGGGCACCCGAGTGTCCCGCAGAGCCCTGGGCATCAGCAGCGTCTTCCTCCAGGGTCTGCGCAGCTCCTCCACCACTGTGCCCCTTGCCCCGGGGCTGGAGAAGGGCAGGGGTCTCTCCTATGAGAGCCTGAATGTCTGCTTGGTGGAGTACATCGAGAAGGTGCGAGCTCTCGAGCAGGTCAACCAGGAGCTGGAGGAGCACATCAGAGTCTACCTGGACAAGAAAGCGGCCAGTGTGAGCAGCTGGGGAGCACTGCGGGAGAACTGGGAGGCGATTTACCATCAGGTGAGCGCTGGAGCGCTGTTGGCAGCGGGGGGACGGAGGGAGCTTCACAAGTCATTAGCAACCCTGAGCGGCGAGGGTTGATGCTGATGATGAATGCTGCCTGATTTCAAGGTGCGGTGCCCTAGACGGAGGGTTTTAAATCTATCTTCATGATAATTAGCATTATCATTTCACAGTGTGCTGTGGAAAATGCCTATTAAGCAGGACAATTGTCTCAGGCATCCTGTGCATAGGGGCGATTGAAATGCACCCCAAGGCGCAATAGTCTGGGCTGATTAAAATGGGTGGGTTTTCTTCTTAATTTTTTTTTCTTAGCTGTGGTTATTACACTGAGCATCAAAATTATTAAAAGAAAACTGCTAGGACTGAATTAGTTTATCCCTCAACATGATATCACAACAAGCACATTGTGGGGTTTTTTAGTTAGCAATTCAGATTTTTACTTTATTCCCTTGTTTGCTTAATCACATTTTCAAAAGCTCTATTTGCTTAAAAATAATAATTACATGGCTACAGATGAGTGACTCCTTTCCTTCCCTTTGTCGCCACCCCACCATCCCTTACTCCCACCTTCTCCGTACAGCACAGGCTGTGGGTTCTCCGGGAAAGTGTTTATTGTGGGGGTGCGACACGGTGTTTGCATTGACCTCATGGACAAGAAAAAGTCCCTTTTGTTGACCAGTGAGACCAGTAAGACTTTGCAGGCTGACATCCTGCTTGCAGCAAACACAGGGCTCTGTCCCCTGAGGTCTCGGTGCGCCTCACGAGTCCTGGCTTCTCAACTCCCAGCCAGCGGGAGCGGACGGGACCCTGAAGAGCTGGAGCCCGGCATCTCGCACATCTTTTCCCGGCAGTGCTTGTGCAGGTGCAGAAAATGCTGTCGGCGGCTCTTCAGAAAGCCTGAAAGACAACTTTAAGCTCCCCAGGACAATTGTGTGTCTTGCATTGGGCTGGCCAGAGTTAATTCTGGTGTAGGAAAGAGGGTGCATTTTTACAGTGCGCTGCACTTTTAGGGCAGGTCTTCACCCAGAACACTACAAATGTCTGAACCCTGAATGCAGCAGCATAAGCTGTAGTACAAAGATCATGTCAGCAGAAACGCCCAGTTAAGCACCAACTTTTAAAGTTGTTATCTTTTTGTATTGGTAAATGACATTGCTGCCGCTAATCCTATAAAGCTTCCTGAAGGGACTAGCTGCTGAAGGCAATGGGTGCTCTGAATCTGGGGTGCTTACGGAAAGCCATTCCCTCGAACCTATCATCTCACTGAGGTAGATGGGGACTTTGATGTGAGATGGGGGGTTAATGCTTTATAGCCGCCATCCTGTGTTTTCCAGACAAGTGTCCCATTTTGCAGCTGTAGACCTCACCTGTAAAACCTACCGGGGCTTATGGTTAAGACCAAAAAAGTAGGACCATAGGTACTTTAGGAAGGACTGTTTGATTTTTCTTTAAGTGAAACTCCAACATTGTAGTGCAGATGAACCTACTCATGTACTAATTTTTCATGCAAATTGCTTTCCTTTTAACCTTTCTTTATATTGTCATCCTGCCACCTTGCCTCTACCTCCCTTTCTTATGAGTAAATAAGAGCAGCTCATAATGAAATCTAGCTTGAATATTGGGCTCTTCCTATATAAAATCAGAAAAATAAAGCTATGTAGTAATAGCATTTGCAAGTATCATAGAAAATGAGAGAAAAAGATTAGCATCATCCCTATCTATTTAACCATTAAAACACATTAGAGAATACATAAAGTTTTCCAAATTACTTCAATTAAATCAATAAAAGTGGCATCACTTAGTGGTTTTGACTTTCTCAGATATAATCTGAGCTGTTATGTACAATTCTGACTAATAAGTTCTTCGCTTTTTATAAATTAAGCATCTAACCAAGAATAAAAGTAGGACCTCATCCAGCCCAAACACTGATTAACTCATTCATCCTGGAGCTAATTGGCAAAAGTATGCCAGCATCAACACCAAAACTGTCACATTTATTAAAACAACATCAAAATCAGTTGCTGCAGAAGTGGCTGCAATCACACCAAGTCAGTACGCTCTGCAGAAATGGCTGCAATCATAGAATCATAGAATCATTAAGGTTGGAAAAGACCTCTAAGATCATCGAGTCCAACCGTCAAACCAACACCACCATGCCCACTAAACCACGTCCCTAAGCGCCTCATCTACACGTCTTTTCAATACCTCCAGGGATGGTGACTCACCCACTTCCCTGGGCAGCCCGTTCCAATGCTTGAGAACCCTTTCAGTGAAGAGATTTCTCCCAATCTCCAATCTAAACCTCCCCTGGCACAACTTGAGGCCATTTCCTCTTGTCCTAGCGCTTGTTACTTGGGAGAAGAGACCGACCCCCACCTAGCTACAACCTCCTTTCAGGCTGTTGTAGGGAGCGATAAGGTCTCCCCTCAGCCTCCTTTTCTCCAGGCTAAACAACCCCAGTTCCCTCAGCCGCTCCTCATAAGACTTGTTCTCCAGACCGCTCACCAGCCTCGTTGTCCTTCTCTGGACCAATCACACCAAGTCAGTACCCTCCTGCTATGACGCATCCCAGTAGGAAAAGTAAAAGGTGTTCAGGAGCGAGGTGGTACAGAAATGAGAGACACCTGGCAGATACATTTCTAGATGTAATTTTGGTAAATATATTTAGATTTTCTGTAGATGTCCACATCTGCCTTAATGTGACATATCCTTTTTTCAGCCTCCTGCAAAATCTGAGGACTCATTTTGATTCGCGGCCAGCCCCGTGCATTCAGCCGGGAGGGATGCCTGGCAGCCATAAACCCCTCGGTGCCCTTCGTATGAACCAGCTGTGAAAGTTTTGGGGCGGAAAGCTGCCTGAGCAGCCACCTGGTTTAACCCAAACACCCACGATAGGAACAGATTTTGAACAAGAAGCAGCAAAGAAAAATACACAATTGGGGTGTGTGTGGTGTGGCTAGACAGGAGCCCCTTCCTCTGCCCTGCTAGTGAGAAGACAAGGATACAGCCACGTAGCAGTTGCAGACTCTCTTGGTCTCAAAATCAGAAATGTGACAGGCCCATCTCTGCAGTGGGGTAGGAGAGACCCCTGTGGACCAGAGGGCCCGTTTCCCTCCTGCCCTTCCTGGGATGTGCTCCGGCATCCCATATTTCAGGTGCTTGTCCTCCCAGCAATAACAACTGGGTGCCAGCATTTCTCCCAAACACAGGGCTAGGGGAAAAAATGTGGCAACAAGTGACTCAAAGGGTATGAGTGGAGGGTCCCTCAGGGGAAAAACCACTCGTGTTTCATTGCAATTGTCAGAGCTATTACTGCAGCAGGGGATCACAGACAGGAGCTGAATGATGGGAAGCCACTATCCAGCTCACAGCATTAATTATCCGCCTGGGCAGCTGTTTTTTAGCAGAGCAGGTGGACACACGCTAATTGGGACAGGTGCGAAATGGGAGGATTTTTGCGGGAAACGAGGGAAATGAGAAATCCTTGCAGAGAGGAATTCATGTGACAAATATAAATTCATCTCATTTTACCCCGGGCATACTCCTTTTCTCCAGGCTTCATCCCAGTCTTCTTGTAGAAAATTCTATCTCTAATCAAATGCGCCTCTTCTGCAGAATAGGAGGTTGTTTGCCCAGGGAGCAGGGCAGCACCTGGGAAAAGTGGATACTTGAAATAATCTCTGCGAGTTTACAGAGAGGAGAGGGTAGCTCAGCCTCCGTGACCGTTCAATTACGGCTGCGTGGGAAATGCAGAGATTTATTTTGTCTATGAGATGGCACGTAGCGCAGTTCAGATCACAGGAGTAAACACAAAAACAGAAGAAGGAATCAACGTCCTGGACCATTTTTATCGCTGCTGTGACTCCTGTGCATGGTTGCGAGCATTTGAAAGATCACCAGAGTTTTTCTATAGAGATACTTTTGTTTGCACCTGGCCTTACTATCAGCATTTACTCAGTGTTAATATTAAGTCTGGAAAATATACAGGACTGACAGCCCGAGGAATCGCCACATTTGGACTTGCACACAGTAATTTATTTGCTGCGGGGCCAGGAGAGCCGCTGAGTATTATCGGTAACACACTCTAACGCAACACAGTGCATGATTAGGGTCTGTAAATTGGTGAAATAGCATTCTGCCACTGATCTAAGGGCACAACAAACTCCCACAAAATGGCACAGAGCTTGGTCAACCACCATACAGAGGATGGCAATAAATTACTTTTAATTATGTCCTCTCAGCCACTTCAACAGCATAACCTTGGACTACCTTCATACAGCTGTGTGAGGGGGGGGGGGGGGGGTTGTC